GACACCATCACGGTCCTGTGGCCTGTCCCTCTCTGCAGCAGGGACATCATCACGGTCCTGTGGCCTGTCCCTCTCTGCAGCAGGGACACCATCGCAGTCCTGTGGCTTGTCCCGCTCTGCAGCTGTGGGCCTTGTCCTGGGTTGGGGACTGGCCCTGCGCCCCTCGTGCCGTGCTCACGCACTCCTGCCCGGGCCGCCTGCTGCTCCCGCCCACGCCCAGCTCCTCACAGGGCCTGCGCTGCTGAGAGCTTTTCAGTCTTGATAAAACCCTGAGAGGAATCAATGGGAGCCCATTATGAGACCATGCGTCTCCCACCAGACAGTCACCAGCGATTTTTCATTCAGATTTTTACAATTCAAAACAAAACTCCAAGATTATTTTCTCCGTGGCAGATCCTGAATCTCCCATCTCTCCGTCAGATCTGCGATTCCTGAGGCTACCCGGGAGGGACTTCCGGAAGTCCCACGCAGAGCCAAGACTTCCTTGACATGAATGTGCAACATGTCAGACGCGCCGTGGCCTCAACAAGCGTGTTTCCCTGTCTGTCCTCCTGCCCCCGCGAGCCCCAGGAGGCTGCGGAGCGAGGCCCTCCTGCTTGGGGTTGACACAATGACAGTGACATGTCCCCGTCCTGGAGTTCATTAAAGCGGAACCAGGACAAGATCATTTTGAAAGCAGAACGGAAGGCGGCTCCCAGGGGACACGGGCCTTCCCACGACCCACAGGCCCGCCCTGCCTGTCCTCTCCCTCGGTGGCCCTGGGGCTACTCCCCACTCAGGTCCCCAGCTAGACTTTGGCTTCTCAAGGTCAACCAGGGTCAAGGGTAGGTCCCCGAGGGGTCTGAAGATCCGGGAAACACCTGATAAGGGATGAGACTCTGGCTGGGGGGTCTTTCTTCAGTGACCGCAGGCTCCCAAGGAGACCCTGGGCCTGGAGGTCAGCCCAGCCGCTCTCTGGGTCCCTGGAGATCACTCAGGAAGTGATCAGACAGCACACTCCCCCCGGGGCTGGCCAGCTGGCCCTGCCTGCAGCTGCTTCTGAGCAGGACCTGCCCTCAGCTGCCTGGGCTCCAGGACTGACCAGATCCTGGCAGCTTTCGATCTTGGGAGGAGAAGGGGCAGGCGCCTCGGGGCACTGACTGGGGCAGACCAAGGGGCCACTCCCGCGAAGCAAGCAGCCCTGCTCCTTAGAAGAGCCGGTCTCCCTCCCGACCAGCAGGGCTCCTCCAGGCCAGCGGGCAGGCCCCTCCGCTCACAGGGATGGTGTCACCAACACCTCAGCACGGCCGGCGGGCCCAGGCTGTGACACTCAGATGGCACCCAGTGCCCACCGGCGAGGAGGAGCCTGGCTGCCAAGCACTTGGTCAGCAGAACTGCCGTGTGGGTGCAGCCAAGGCAAGGCCCTCTCCGTGGGCCCCAGGCCCCCAAAGAACAGAAGCCACCACTGAGGGTCAGATGGCACGGCCTGTGACCGCAGAGGACGTCTCTGGATG